TATAATAATATCTTTGTGAATGTCCATATATCTCCCATTATCTTCTATATCTCTTATAATCTCTAATATTTCCCATTATCTCTATATCCCATAATTATCTCATATTATTGTGTAGTTTGTAGATTCTATCAAAAGTGTAAAGCTATATCTATAAATAGAGGTCATGTATAATGTATTAACACACTTGAATGGAATGAGAAATACTCTCTCTTGTTCATCCTCTCTTCCTCTGTATGATTCTTTTCTAAACTTCTTCTTTATTTATAACATATACCATAATTTTTAAGGCATACTACTAATAATTAAGAAGTTTTAATTTATAAAGACTATATTAAAAATTATGAAAAAATATAAAAAATTAAAATGTGTAATTTTCTTACAGTATTATTTTCTTTAATGACTATCACTAAATATATGAATTGTTATAATCTCGATAAAATCACTTAAACTCATACAATCCAAAATATTTAATGTTTTTAAAATAAAAACATAATTTGAAAAGCTCGTACTCCTCGTGCGGTTAAAACACATTACCTCGTTCGAACGCGCGCGCACAAAGCATGTTACCTTGGTAAATATTGAATGAATAGTTATAAATAGAACCATACACATACATAAAAATTATGTATAGAAATATTTCTTATATCTAAATCGCATGTGAGAGAAACTTATTAGACTTTCGTAAAGGAAGAGAGAGACATGTAGTAATACGGGAAGGGATTTCAACTACACTAAGAATAAATTGAAGAAATAAATAAATTCATGTGAATGATTCTTACTTTAGATGAGAAGGAACTGCTCGTCCGGTGTAATTTCTTTATAATGTTTGCCTACTTTCGAATAATATAATCCAGCACAAACTGGACTGGAAACAGTGCTTTCCAGGTTTATTTGTTCAATCCATCATCAAGTGGGTTTAATTAGATCAAGAGGGTTCAATTTTCCTTGCACTCTCTGGCTTCGTATATGCAACCGTTCGATACCTTCAATGAGTGTTTTCTTTAGTCTTCCCCTCCCTCTTTCCGGCGGACTCCGTGATGTCTAACCTATCCCGGTGCTACCAATGACGTGGCCTTCTTTTTACATTGCTGCATCATCTTAAATGATTTTCTAGTATTACAGGTTCTCATATATGTTCATTATGAATATTACATTTTTTTATATGACCACACATCCATTTTAATATTTTCATCTCTTCTGTCCCAACTTTTTATTCTTGTTTTCTCTATTTAGAACCCACTAAACGTACCATATAGTATTCCTGATCATAACAATTCGACGAAACTTTTCTCAGCATACTTGGTTATTTTCATCATGAATAACTCTAAGTGATTGATTGATTGATTAATTAAATTAATCTAGCTGTTAACTCGGGTGATAAGATAGGTGAAATTAATTTCACTCTAAATCTCCTTTGGTTTCTCACTTTTCGCAATATTCAAGTGAGTGTGCCCCAAGAATTGCGGGCGATTAGCAAATGAATGTCATTCTAAATCCCTTTTGGTTTCTCACTTTGAACATTGAAGATTGAACTCTCAAACCTTTCCTTATATTTGAGGATCTTAGTTTTCGACCGCCGGATTTAACATTACAAGTACAAATAGAATTCTTACGAGCAAGCAAAATTCAAATCAAATCAAAATGCTTTTTATTTTATCACTATTATTTTGATCATCATCATCATCATTATTATTCAGCTTTTAATCTTTCTCGCTTTACTTGGTGCTGCAATTATTATGACTTGATGAAAGTAAAAGGAGAAGCATTAGTGGGTGTAGGGTAGCCCCCAACACAAATTTTCCATGTTGACTCTGGATCACACCTGCCCATACACTTGTGTCCCCATTAAACAAAATTTAGACTAAGCTTTTGTTTCCGCCCATTTCTTTAAAATTAAAAAATAAGTGATTCAACCAACTTAGTTTGACATCAGTAAGCTCTCGTTATCCAAGCAAGTAGTTGAGTTTAAATCACATAACTCTTAAGTATGTAGTAAGAGTTGGGAGGAGTCTACCATTTGCCTCTACTATCTCGAGAAAAAGTGAAGTATACTCATTGTGCCTCACATGAATGTAATAATTTTCATATTCTCTCTCAATTAATCAAGAAAAGAAGGAAAGTCATTAAATAGAGAAAAAGACTGCGTTGTTCTTGGTTTCATACAATCAATCTAAGGGTCACAGATCCATGAGCAAGCCACACCTCATTCTTATCTTCAATTCATGCTTCACACAGAATCATAACTCCCACTTCACTACTCTCTCTCTCTCTCTCTCTAGTGGATGCAACCTCACAAAAACTACACCACACATTGTCACTGTCTTTTCTCTATTCACTGGCCCACACCCCAGAATCTTTTTCATCATCTTTTCTCTGCAGATCATGAAAGGGTCTGATTCTGCTATGATCTGAATTATATATATGGACCACAAAATTGCTTACAGTGCATCAAAGCTCCGACCAGGAAATATGGTTTGGTTAGAGACTACTTAGTTCTTTTAAGGAACCAAATGATTGCTTGTAATAATGTATGTCTAATGCAATCAGTGAGCTTGATCAACATTATCTCAAACATTGGTGGGATACATTTAACTTCAACTAGCAATCCCTTCATTATTATAAACAGTCTAGATAATCTTTTGGCCTATCTTTATTGCTTAATGCAAGCATGTGGCTGCAATTAGTGCTGCTGTTATGACTTGCACACAAACACCGAGACAAAACTCATTTCACATCCTTACCTTGTACATCATAAAATCACGTTTAAAAAAACTAATCCAAATATCTTCCTAAGAGAGTGTTTGGAAAACACTATAAGCACTTTAAAAAAAAATGCTTTCATGCAAGTCAAGACAAAATCCCTCTCACATACTTAGTTCATACAACATAAATCACTTATGAAAAGCTAATCCAAGTAGAGATGCTCTGGAACAATCGCTTATTTACGTCTGTTGCTGAATTAATAGTCCAAAGATTCTCCTTTAATTTAGAGGCAAATTCAGGTCTCACGGCTGGACGCAAGCATGTCCACTGTTTGGTCTTCTCGTAGTAATTTGTTAGTTGCGGAGAGAGCAAGCGACGATTTCAGATGCAGACATATCATAGATTTGTGTGGGATAAAGAACAACATTCTCAGTGACCAGAGTTCTGAGAGTACTAAATTATGTATTATTAGGATCATGCAGTGACCCATTCCTTAGCCAAAACAGCGGAAAAAACAAAAAAGCTGCGGTTATTTGTCGGGTTTCTCAGCAATTCACTACAAAAAACTGGACTTTCAGTGACGACTTTCAGCGGCGACAAAGGAAGTCGCCGCTGAAATATGACTTTCAGCGGCGACACTTCTTGTCGCCGCTGAAAGTCAGGCCTTTTTGCGGCGACAATAGTGTCGCCGCCAAAAGTGATAGTTACAGCGGCGACTTTTTATTGTCGCCGCTGTAGCTGCAACTTTCAGTGGCGACAAAAGTTGTCGCCGCCAAAAGTGTACACTACGGTGGCGACTTTTATGGTCGCCGCTGAAGGTATACACTTTTAGCGGCGACTTTTATGGTCGCCGCTGAAGGTATTTTTAGCGGCGACTAATTGTCGCCGCTGAATCTCCTTTCAGCGGCGACAATTTCTGTCGCCGCTGAAGCTGCTTTCAGCGGCGACATTTGATCGCCGCTGAATCTCTTTTCAGCGGCGACACTTTTTGTCGCCGCTGAAGCTGCTTTCAGCGGCGACAAATTGTCGCCGCTGAAAGTTTTTTCACATTTTTTTTATTATTTTGATTTTTTGTAAAAATTTTATATTATAATCTTTTATTTGTGTAATTAAGTAACTTTGATAATTAATTTTTTTTATGTATTTTTGTATTAGAAAGAGACTAAAAGAAAGATAATGTGTATGAGAGGAATGAGAATAAAATTATTGAAGGATAATATAATTAATTAAAAATGTGTGAGAGATATAGATAATAAAATCATGTATATAGTTAATTAAATATTATTACTATTTATATTTTTTTAATTTAAAATTATTCGAACAGGGGACTTGGTGAAATTTAAAACTCCCCCTGCCAAGCACGCCACGCGTGTTATTTGCAAGCTTGGCGAATTGTTATTCTATATAAAGTTTCACATTTTGAAACCCAAAACAATTTAACCCGCTCCAATGTACTGAAAATTTTTGCTTTTCCCTCCTAGCGCCGCGCAAAGAAGCTTCGAGCATCCGACTGATTCCAGCGTCCATCTTTTAGTCCATCGATCACTTCCAGCGTTCTTTCTTGCTTCATCCATGTAAGTGCGCCGATCTTCTTCTTCGCTTGAAGTCTTGTGGTGCTGTATTTTTTCCCCCTTTCTTGTTCTGCATTTTCAGATCCGTTTTTCCTCTGGTTTGCTGGATTGATTGTGTGTTTTTTTTTTTGAAATCCCCTAGATTTAATGGCTGTCATGTGTATGTGTTGTTTACTGAAAGAAGAAAATATTTTCTAACTGGACTCAAAACTACGATGCAAAAAGAACCTTGCTATCAGTAAATATATGTCACACTGTGCAAACCGAAGCCTTCGTGCAGTCAGTAGGATTAGTGTTCATAGGAAGTTCCACGGATTGAAGGTGAGTGGGTCAGGATACAGAAATGGATCGTAGGGATAAATGGTAAAGCTATAAGAGATAAGGATTGTGTGGGATTGTGTGGGAAGTTCTTGTGTAAACCGAAGCCTTCGTCCAGCATCATTCATGAGAAATTAAAGCGAGTAAATGGTAAAGCTATAAGAGATAAGGATTGTGTGGGATCAATTCTCTTTCATGGAAAGAACTCGTGTGGTGTGACAGGGAAATGGTGGTGGGTTTTGTTGAATTGGTGGGTAAAGCCCATGTGCATTATCACTATCCTAAGGATAAATTTGAACTTTCATTGCTTCTCTTTTTACTCTAACACAGTACGTAGTCTTAAAAGTGACCTCAAAGTAGCCTCGAAAAAAAAAAGCCTCGAGGCATTATTCACGAGGGAGATTCAACAGCTTGAGGTTAAAGTTGATGAAAGATGGTTCTGTAAACTTAGGCACTGAATAGTGGTCTAGTGTGGGTGTGGCCCCTCTTTCTGAATCTACAATTACAAAGTAGTGTAATATTCCTCGTACATTCTGGACTTGATCTCTTTGTGATTATTATTTGGTTCCCTCATTAGATGTTTGCCTATTGACGAGGTGCCGTGCAAGTCAGGGAAGGAGCTGCATGCACCTACATACAGGCCTTTGTTGCTTCCATAAAGCAAGCTGCCTTGGAGCCATTGCTGCGTGACATGTATGATTCCTGTCTTTTAACCTCTCTCACCCCCTGTTCTGGTTAACAATGTTGAATCAAACTATGTAGTGCTGCCAGAGCATCTTTACCAAAGTAATGCGAATGCCTTGTTTTTGTACTCTGGACGCTTGAAAATTGGTTCATTCCTTCCCGAGATCTGCTAGCTGCAATTTTCTTTGGTGCTTGTTATCAAGTTTTTTAAATGCATGGGATGAGCACTTATTCACAACACAAGAACAGTCTGGTTTTTTAAAAAAATAAATTTCATGTTTTATTTGGTCATCCATCCGTTGCTGGCCAAAAAATAAAAATAGTGTGTTATATGTGATTCTATTGGTTGCTTCTAATTATTTCTCGGTAATATCTTTGTATTTAAGTTTAAATTTAGATTAAAATTTAGTTTAAATTGTATTTGGTTTAACTTTAAATTACCTTGAACGTGATGCAAATTGAATAGTGTGTGATGGCTTGGGTTATATTAGTTCTTTTCTTTAGGAAGTTAATTTTTTCAATGTGTGCGGTTCAATTTTAATTTAATGATCATTAAACATGATGCTTATCTGTTGCTTTATCTTTGTGTTCATCTTTACTTCACTGTTACTCCGAGCTTTTACTCTCCTTGTGTTTCTTCCTCTTTTCAGGCTCAACCTCTTTTCTGTTCTTCTGACACATAACTAGAATATATATATCTATGTTTTGCACACATTTTGGGTATTTGATGAGAAGTTTGACAGGCATATCGGTCATAATCTATATCTATCTATATATTCTATAAACGTTGTGAGTGCTTTGTGATTGGTCCATGTAGATGTGCAGGTGTTGGACCACGTGGATTGTATTTTGTGGCTTGTGAATATTTATTTTCGCTTTTATCGGGTTTTTTGGGGAAGTTTAGGGGTCAAGTGTTTTGTTGTTTGTATTTAATTCGTGTGTGGGTCGTGGGGACTTGGAGAGGCAATATACAAAATAAAAAATTGATGACTAGTCGCAAAACTTAAGTTGCTCTTGCTAAGAGACGCCTGACATGATATGTTTTTCTTTTGGTTAGTTTCATTTTCTTATTCTCTATAAATCGGGTTTAGGAATTTTTCTTCAATTTTTTGATTAGTCTCATTTTTCTTATTCTCACACCTCGTTAAACTGATTAGATATTGCTGTGAAAAATAACACAGGCTTTTTGGTCTACGAATATCTGCTCAAAGACAGCTTAGAGAATCAGCTTTTTAGAAGCAGAACGTGCAGCAGAGCAAGCAAAGATGGAAGCAGAGTGTACACAACTTGAACAAAGAATGGAGCAATTGATGGAACAGAGAATACAAGCTTAATTCACTGCTTTCATGCAAAAGATGTAGTTAAATACTCCTGCAGATACCCCTACTTCTAGCGTCCCTAGTATTGGTCCCTCTACGTAATTTTCTTTTGCATTATGTAATGTATCTTTTAATTGAACAATTTTTTTTTAGTTAAAGACATAAAAACACTTTGATGGTTATAAATCTTATTATTTAATATATTATATTTGTGTGTTAATTACTTTATTTTTATTAAACCTTTTGATAATATTTATCAGGAATATAAATAAAATTTTTTGCATAATTAATATATTATAAGAATAATTAAAATCACAAAAAAAGGTAATCAGCGGCGACAATGGGGTCGCCGCTGAAAGCATAATTAGCGGCGACAAAAGAGTCGCCGCTGAAACAAGCTTCAGCGGCGACAAAACAGTCGCCGCTGAAAGCATAATCAGCGGCGACAAAAGTGTCGCCGCTGAAACAAGCTTCAGCGGCGACAAGATGTCGCCGCTGAAAGCATAATCAGCGGCGACAAAAGTGTCGCCGCTGAAAGTGCAGTTTCAGCGGCGACTTTTTGTGTCGCCGCTGATAAGTTTCAGCCACGGCCGCTACGGCAACGACCTAGTGGCGACAAAATGTCGCCGCTAAAACTTTTCAGTGGCGACTTTTGGACTTTCAGCGGCGACATTTGTCGCCGCTGAAAGTCAAATTTTTTGTAGTGCAAGTTGGTCCCAAAAACTATCATTTGGTGATCTCATCAGTTCCTGTGTGATCACACCCCATTTTCCCCCGAAGATCTAAGACGACAAGCCACGGAAAATTTGCCAAATTTAAAACCAATCATGAACAAGTTAAGCAGGTTGTGTGAATCCAAAGCAACAATGTATATGCATGTCAGGATTCTCATAATTTGAAATATTTATTATAGTTGGTCTCATGTATATATGGCTTCAACTATGTCAGAGATTTATTAATAACTCGGTAAAGGTAAACTTTTTAGATTGTGGGTCTCCCTTCATGTGCCAAATTATTCTTGCAGAATGTCCTTTTGATCATACTGGAAGGTTCCGGAGCATATTTAAAGCTCGTTCAATTATTGAAAGACAAACCTTCCTCTACTCATCCTCGAATTAATATCAAATAAATAAAAGATCAGAGGCCCAGAAAACATAAGCATCTCCAACAATTATTAATATGTCTAACTATATGTTCATTCCACGGATGGAAAGTAAATAATAACCATCTAAGTTAGCTTTGTCCCATGAATTGATACTCGTTAATTCGAGTGTGGCTCAATTAACTATACAAATTTAATATTTACTACGTTCTTAGGCATGATAAGATATTACCCGTCCGGCTTTAAATGTAAAACACATTTTATAGTGTAAATTATATTACAAAATAAGTTTTAGATTTAGAATTGGAGGAATAATTGACTTAGATATTTTTCTACCTTTAAACATGCAATCCATATAATCAAAGAGGGATACAGTGATGTGTACAGAGAGGGTACCGTAGTCAGCACTAAAGGTTTTTTTAGAAAGTTTACAGTAGGAGGAGATTAGTCACCTCTAGCTGTAGTAGATACAGCCCAAAAAAAAAAAAAACAAAAAAAGTAAAGGAGTAGATATATAGTGACAGATCTCGCTTAACAATTAGTGATGTCCTCTGTATTTATTGTTCCATTTTTTTTTTGTCTGTCTTTCCCTAATTACATAAGTTGTAGCGTTATGAAAAGATCATACACTAAGCATCCAATTACTCCATTTAAATTAATAAACGTTGGAACCAAATCTTGTGCATTTCATTTTCTTAGGGCATACTATAATCACCAATATTCTCTTAGACTGTGTATGGTGTGTGCATGCTGCATAATTTTTTTTAATAAACCATAGTAGCTGCCTTTAATTTCATGGAATATTTATGCTTATTATTGAATATTTAAAATGCAAACAATGTGAGATGAAGTGGAATACTTAAATTAACAGGCGCTATCATTCAACACCATAATCCAATGTACAGTATATATAATTGGTAGTCAATGGAATAAATACTTGTTGGCAAAAATATCATGGAAAAGGAAAAAGGGGGGGGGGGAGGATGTATCAATACCTAAGTATATATGTCTGGGAAGTGGATAAGGAGAGGTATGAATATGAGACCCTATTGGATACAAAATTATAACCCAAGTAACTGATGAAATATGCATTTATCATAATTTCTTAAAAGTTTTTTTTATGATGGTTATCACAACATTTCAAACCAATGCTCAGTTCCCTAATAATTGTCCTCGTAAGTGATTACTCCCTCCGATTCAAAATATAAGCTAAACTCTATTGGAGGGCTTTGGGTTTTTAATAAAACAACATTCACTTTTATCTATGTATTTAATGAGTTTGTTCCAAATTTACCCCATATATTCTTTTTCTCCTCTGATAAAAAAAAATACATGTCTTACATATTTATTATTTTAAAATGATTTTAACTAATTTCTTGATAAAAGTAAATAGATAAAATTTATCTCATATAGTTTGAATCGGATGGAGTAATACTTCAATTTTTCTTTCTTTCTCACAGTCTTTTATGTTGTTAACGCATTTTTTTTTTTTAGCCACATGGTGCGAGATTGCTTTCAGTACTTTTGCCCAAGGAACGAAAGGTTGGTAAATGCCTTAAAACTAGTGGACACAATTAACAGCACCTAGTGTACTGCTGGAATTTTATCCTTTTACCTGAGGTATGATTAATTTTCTATTTTGATCCGTCCTTTGCTCACTAATTCGTAAGTAGGGAGAATAACAATTAAGGACCTAATAATAAGGTTATGTTATGAAATTAACTAATAAAGAAAGTAGATTAGAGAAGAGATGTAAACAAGAAAATGAGAGAATGATATCGTATTGCTTCACTTGCTTCACCTTCATCCCAATACAATGGCATGCCTTATTTATAGGTATAGTCTTACACATAAGTTACACTTTTACTTAAATAATAGATAGTGGACAATAAACCATATGAAGGTGAGTGGGGGGGCGAGTTACAAGATTAAAGGCATAGTGGAGAAATAATGGAGTAGTGGGAGTTAAAGAAGTGAGGAGGAAGGGAAGATGGACATCCACATTTGACAATATTCGTAACACTCCCCCTTGGATGTCCATTATATAAGGATGTGCCTCATTAAAAAACTTCAACTAAGAAAAGCCTTGTAGGATAAAAACCTAGCAGAAGAAAAAAATTACACATTTGCTAATACACTATTCGATGCTGCCTCATTAAAAACCGTGCTAGAAAAACCCAGTAGGAAAAAACCATAGACAAGGGAAAAAGAGTACAGTATGTATTAACTCCCCCTCTTGATAACATCAATTGATATCCCTGAGTCTGTGACATCCGATATCATGAACAAACTTTTCGAATATTGTAATAGTAAGTGACTTGATGAACAAACCTGCTAGATTTTTATTTGAATGGATTTGCTAGATATAAATTTCTCCATTTTTTGGATATTGTGAGATACTCTCTTTGGAATTACCAACATCTGGATCAAAAAAGAATTTATAATCTTTATTTTAGTGTTCTCATATTGATGAATAACTATATCTTACTAGTAAGTTAATAACAAATGATATATCAAGTCGTATGTGACTAGCAAGATATATAAGTGCACCAATTGCACTAACATATGGTACTTCTAGACTAAATAATTCTTCATCACCTTCTCGAGGTCTAAAAGGATCTTATACACCTCCACAAATCTCACAACTACCGAAGTACATAATGGATATGATTTATCCATATAAAAATACTTTAAGGCCTTTTT